TTCAAAGAAATAGAACAATTATTGATGAAATTCATATGGAATCACAAAAAACCCGAATAGCCAAAGCTCTCCTGAAAAAAAAGAAGGGAATGGAGGCATCACACTCCCAGACTTCAAACTCTACTACAAAGCCATAATCATCAAAACTGCATGGTATTGGAACAAGAACAGGACACACAGACCAATGGAATTGAATAGAAAATCCAGAAATGAAACCCACAGATTTATGGTCAACTAATCTTTGACAAAGGAGCAAAGACTATGCATTGGAGCAAAGAAGTTTGTTCAATAAATGGTGCTGGGAAAACTGGGTCGCTACATGCAAAAGAATGAAGCTTGACCACTACCTCACACCATACACAAAAATCAATTCAAAATGGATTAAAGAACTAGACATAAAACCTGAAACCATAAAATATATAGAAGGAAATATAGGCGAAACACTACGTGATTTGCACATCAAAGACATCTTTACAGACACATCACCCAAAGCAGTGACAGTGAAGGCAAAGATAAACAGCTGGGACTACATCAAATTAAAGAGCTTCTGTACAGCAAAAGAGACAATAACAAAAACAAAGAGAAACCCCACCAACTGGGGAGAACATTTTTGCACACAACACTAACGATGAAGGATTGATCAAAAAAATCTACGAAAAGCTGATGAGACTCAACAACAACAAAGAAAATAATCCAGTCCAAAAATGGGCAGAAGAGCTAAAATGAAACTTCTCTGAAGAGGAAATGCAAATAGCCAACAATCATATGAATAAATGTTCAACATCCCTTGTAATCAGGGAAATGTAAATAAAAACTACCATGAGATACCATCTTACACCAGTGAGAATGGCACATATTAAAAAAACTAGCAACAACAAGTGTTGGCGAGGGTGTGGAGAAAAAGGAACTCTTCTGCACTGTTGGTGGGAGTGCAAACTGGTCCAACCACTATGGAGAGCTGTGTGGAGATTTCTGGACCTACTAAACATAGAGCTTCCATAGGATCCAGCAATTCCACTCAAAGGTATTTACCCAAAGGACACAGAAACGTCAATTCCAAAGAGCACCTGCACCCCTATGTTTATAGCAGCACTGTTTACAATAGCTAAGCTTTGGAAACAGCCCCAATGCCCAAAAATAGATGACTGGATTAAGAGATGTGGTACATATATACCATGGAATATTACTCATCATTCAAAAAAGATAAACACATGCCATTTGCAGCAACATGGATGGCGCTGGAAGGGATCATGCTCAGTGAAATAAGCCAAAAGAAAAAGAAAAAGACCGGATGGTCTCACTCATAACAGGAATCTAGAAAACTTAAATAAGGGACCAGAAAAATGAATAACTATAAGAAAGCGAAAATCAAAATCAACAAAAAACTATGAACCAGAGACACTTTTTGGGGGGTGAGGGGCGGAGGGGAGGGATTGGTCAGAATGGGTGGTTGCAATTGTATGGGGAATATAAAAATAAATTTATTATTTAAAAAAAAAAGAAAGAAAGAAGTAATGGTTTGTTAATGTCCAGAATGATAATAAGTGAATGAGTCTAGTTGGGGCAACTCTCTTGCTGTAGGACACTTTACACAGCACCGCCATGCATGTGTGTTTTAGGCAGCAGCTGGACAGGTTTCTTCATGGTATTTTATTCCCATGCAGGTCTTGCAATATCTTGGCAAGTATATAATGGCGAAGCAGCTCTATGATCAGCAGGAACAGCACATGGTATACTGTGGGGGGATCTTTTGGGAGAACTACTTGGACGTCAGAGTTTCTCCGTGAAAGAGCCAAGGTAAGAAGATTGAGGGTTTATCTTTTTGGGCATTTATACCTCACCACTTAATCTCTTTAGGTTATAATGGTAATGACTATTTATTTCTCTGGTCAACAAATATTTAAGAGCCTACATCTGTCAGGTGGCCTCTAAGACACTGAGAATATAAC